TCCTCTCCACTATCCAACTGCCGTCCTACTGTGGATCAACAGAACCGAGTACCAGGTTCGTAGTCCCCACTCATTCCCAAACCCACTTGTCGAAGATCAGTTTCCCTTCCTCTGATTTCACCAGTTTCCCGCCTAACCCCCAAGTTTCACCAAACCAGGATCCTTGGCGCTTTCTTCTCCAGTCCACCTGGATGATCCTCCTCAGTGAGGATTTGAATAAGGCCCTGATTTCCTTATTGGTTATTTCTCGGTCCTCAAAAATCCGTAGGTTCCTCTCTTTCCAAATAACATTACAGCCCACGGTTCTGGCTGCTTGGGCCATGTAGCCCCAGCCCTTTTTTGGATCCATGTGTTCCGGAATTCCCCCCAAGAGTACCCAAACTCTGTCCCATACCAGGTTTCCTTCTGCCGTGCAAGCCCAAAGGGATTCCCACCAATCCCATAACCTCTTTGATGCAGGACAATCATACCACAGGTGAATGGTCGACTCATAGGCCCAGTTACATCGTTTGCACGTCAAATAGATCTTCATTCCTCTTTGGAACAGGTTTACTGCAGATGGAGTGGCCAGGAGAGAGAGCAACCAAAGGTTTGCAGACAGTCTGGGGTATGGGGCAATCTTCAATTGGCTCCAACAATGGACCAACTTCTTTTCAATCTGCTCAGGATTGACATCTAAAACTTGCATCCATCTAGCCACTGCAGCAGATCTAGGTGTTCGTGGGGAAGCCTGTGCCAAATACCCTTGTGAAACCGAGTAACATACCAGTGGCTTATCCCGCATGCCAATCCCTTCCCCTCTCCAACCCCACATTTTGGGTCCAGTTTAAGGTCTGATATTGCCATTCCTCCTGCGAAGAGTTTACATTGTCAGTTTCCTTCTTCATCGCAATCTTCCCAAACTCGAACTTGAGTTAGTTCGACTGTTAACGGTGGGTGTGAGGGTCCATCCTGTTGTACTAAAGTGGATGAGTCGACATCGCTGCCTTTCCAACACTGGAAGGACCTTTTACCGTGGGCATCAATGCAGTTTCCAGCAAACTGGAGTAGGTTCCGATGGCCGACTGATGTACCAGGTGCCTGGGGGGTCCACACCCTTTGGACTGAGAATATGTTTCCATTGCTCTGGGATCGCTTCTATGAGATCACTTAGTCTTTCCTCAACAAACCAAACCGAGCCAAGCGTTTCCTTCAAGGCCGCGGGAGACAGCCATTGGTTCTCCCGTTCATTTCACAAATCCCCTGTTCTCATAACGCCCCTTTCTATCCATTTTTCACGTACCATCAGAGCGGCGGATATGCGGATTTTCAAACAGTGGTTGCAGCAGGACTTCCGTTTTGGTAGTGGGATGGAGCCATGCATTGGGCATCAACTTTTTCCAAGCAGAAACGATTGCTGCCCAGAAATCAGACTTCACGTTTCTGTTAAAAAAGGAAGGAATAAGTAGACAAGTCCAAACATCAGATGGTCTGAGTAAGTTCCATTCCAATGACAGAATAGTTTATGCTAGAGAAATCCAGTGTGCTTCTTCCTCGGCGCTTATTGCCATGACTATCCATCGAACTAGCATTGCTACACTCTTTCAGTGTGGATCAATTAGGCCCATGGGGCAACACAGTAGTTCTCATGCGACTTTGGATAAAAAACCTTCATCCTCCCTAGCAAAGGGCTTCCATACGTTGACGAATTAAGGAGCACAAGTTTTTCCCCAAAGGGCGGATTGCAGCTACAAACCACAGTAGGGCGAATAGAGCCCTATTTACGACCAAAACACGCCCATAGAGGGACAGGTATGGGGCTTTGCCCCAGGTGGAGACTCTTTGGGTCATGCGTTGCAGCAAAATACTTTCCTGATCTACTGTGCAGGAGAGCAAGGCTACTTGAACCCCTAAGACGCGTTCTGAGTTGCCCGCGGTAATTTTTTTCATCCCCCAATTTGTCTTTGGTAGGTGGGGATCAGGGAGGAAGAACACTGATTTGGCCTAGTCTTCCGACAACTCCGAGTATTCGTCAAGGTATCCCTTCAATGCAGTCATTGAGATAGTCGAATTTTCAGAAATAGCAAATAAGTCGTCCGCTAGAGCCTTGACTTTGCATTGTCCAGAGCCTGTCTTGAGACCAATGATCTGAGGGCGCATTCTGATATTGCATAATAGGTTCTCCATTTGTATCACAAATAAGAGAGGGGCAAGGGGACATCCCTGCCTTAGAGATCTAGACAGTGGAAAGGTTTCTGAAAGGTTGTCATTGACCATTACCGCAACAGTAGATAGGGAGTAGAGGGCCACCACCCAGTTACACATGTTCCCCCCAAAGCCTACATGACACAGGGTGGTGAGAACATATGTCCAATTAACTCGGTCGTAAGTTTTCTCTAAATCAAGCATTAATACCAAGATATTGGTCTTTGTTCTTTCCACAACTTCCAATGCTTTTACTGTTGTACCAATATTGTCAAAAATGGATCGGCCTTGTACAAAGGATGCTTGATCCTATTTAATTAAAGATGGCAGTTGCCGACCCAGACGACGTGCGAGTAGCTTAGCTAATAGTTTATATGATACATTTAAAACTAAGATCGGACGGCAGTTCCGAATCTCAGAGCGGTCGCATTTTTCGTAGAGAAAGGAAATGATCCCATTCCTCATACCTTTCGACATATTTTTACCTATCAGAACCTGATTGTAGATCTCGACTAATTCTCTCTTGATATCATCCCAGATGATTACATACAGCTCCACTGGGAGCCCATCGTCCCCAGGGGCTTTACCATGTGTCATCGAGTGTAATGTTTCCCAAGCTTCCTCCTCAATAACTAGTCGGTCCATATCTAGCCTTCCCTGTGTAGAAAGTCTAGCTATGTACGCAGACCAATGGTTTGATCCCTATAAGAGATCCTATGTTATATCTTTGTTTGGGCGCCTGATGGTTAAAATATCTTGATAATACATAGTGTCTCGGTCCTGTGCAACTGGGAGGTCGTGATTAAAGGGATGGGACAGTGAGCTCATTGATTGAGTCATTCGCTTGGGTGTCAACTTTTGAAACGTTTCTCTAGTCATGTGGTCGTAAACCGCAACTCTTTTGATTTTCAGCCGCTCAGCCCAAACTTCCGACCGTTCTTGTTGGTAGGCATCCCACTCTGCCATGTACTTTGCCCTAATTGGACTCCACACAAGGTTAAAGATAGGGTGGAGGTTCATTCGAGATTCAGCATATTCCACTTTTTTAGTTAATCTCTCGTTTATTCCTACCAGCCACCAAAATACTTGAAAATATACTCAAATGTTTCGAAAAAATCAATGAACCTGCATCCCACCAATCAGCAGTTGAATCAAAGGAGTCACGATTCTTTTTCCAATCAACCCAAAATTTGTGCATCCAGTCATTGATTCCCGGATCTTTTAGGATCTCTGTATTGACCCTAAAATAACCAGAGCCTCTTTCAGTTATGGTACAGTCGAGCAAGAGCAGGACCGGTTTATGGTCTGAGAGAGTACTCGACTGTTCAAAAATATCAATCGTGGTATTTCAAACCGAAGGCGAGACTAGATAGAAATTCAGTCTCCTGCTCACTGTACCTCTACCCTCCTTGTAGTTCGAAGTCCAGGTGAAACCTGGATTGTCGGGGTGCAATTGGTTGTAAGGTTCGGACACATCCAAGTCAACCATTAATTCAGTTAGCTCTTTAATATCTTTGCTACCCCTAGTTATTTCGTTCTTATCCAAGGAGGTGTTCCAATTGCCTGCGATAATTAAATTCCCACAATCCGGAATAACCAAAGGGAGATTACTGAAAAAAAATCACGTTCTTTGCAGTTGGTTGACGCATATATCGAGACAATCACCTACTCTTGCTTTCCCATCCATAAATTTTCCCCAGGACCAGCGGCCCCATAAATCTGCACAAAAGTCCATAATCTTAGATTCAAGGTTCCTGTGGATCAAGATAGCAACACCTCCCCTTGAACCACAGGCTGGGGACCAAATTTGTGGTCCATCCCACCATGCTCCTAGCTCCACAATCTTTGATTCTGAAAGCTTAGTCTCTTCGACTCTCTTGGAGACAAATGATATCCATTTTTTAGTCGTGAATCCATCTCTTTAAGCGGTCTTGTTTATTCCTGCCGTTCGAATCTCCTAACCCACGGATGTTCCATGTAGCTAACTTAAGTCTGCTCATTCATGGGCAGCGAGCCAGTCGGTTGGATCTGGACTGAACCAGTCGGGATTGCCCGAAGTTGGGGCCAGGGCTCGAGCAACGCTCGTTTAAGAAACGGCGAGTCGAGTTTTTTGTCCTTACCCAGTTTGGGGTTCAATTCGTGGAGAAATTCGGCTGACGTATTGACAACCATTTTGATTTGTCGAAGTTCCGATTTCCTTGCGTCTAAGAACCAAGCTAGAGGAATTAGGCGAAGGTCTTCTCTCTCCAGGGATTCTAACCGACCCATAGTGAAGCGAGCATAAAAAAAAGGCGCGAAAATTTTCACTCGACTACCGGCTACATCAACAAGAAAACGAGGCATGGATACTTCTGCGATGAGCCGAGGAGTGAGTTTGCCCTGGAACAATATTTGAGCTAGATTTTCAGTAACACAGGGCATCGGGGACTCATGACAGGACATGTTAAACATCATAGGGTTCCCATCCAATCCTATCCAAGCAACCACCTAGAAGGAATCTCTAACCGCAGAAATAACAATCGGAAGGAGTCTTGCTTCTACGCTACTCTGACCCTTCGAAAGGGCTTCCATTCGGGCTCGAAAGGATTTGTATTTACCTAAGGTCCTCGAGGGGGTTTGAGACGCAGATCGAAGAGAGCCATTTGAGCTGTGTGAGGCTTCAGCCATCGGTCCATCAATTTGAATATCAACTCCCATACCCTCGCTTAGCCTTCGTGCTTTCCCAGGAGATTCTCCCCGGACACGGCTGCCAACTTGAGAGGTTGAGCCTCCTAACGGGGCTGCTGGCTGTTGGTATTGAGGGTCCATTCCCATACCTTGGTTCATGCAGTGAAGCGCTCCCCCATGCCCATAGGGCCAAGAGGCAAAGGCATGGAGGTTGACGACAGATGGACTTGCATTCAGAAGTGGGTCTGCAAAAGAGAAGCCTTGTTGTTGATGAAGATACGGATGGGGTGGGATTCCTTGCAGGTGCGATGCCCATGCAAGATTTGTAGTCGAATTCATCGGAGTCGGTTGCAAAATTCCTCCACCTCCACTCGACTGTCGAGGGAAGGGGGAAAAAGTAGGGTTGACCCGAAGTACGGTTTCCGCTGGAACTCCAGGTGGCGCCGTACTACTGGGTCCCGCTCTGGAAGCCTGTTGAGTGGCCACTCCTGGTGCTCGAAGCGGACCTTGATACGATGGTCGAGGTGCTCCTCCTCCAGAAGTTGTAGACGCCTGTGGGTTGTTGGGAGCCCGCTCCCCTTGATTTCTCCTTGCAGGTCTCCTACAGGTATCTTCCGTATGGAAGAAGGTGCGGCATCTTGTGCACCATTCGCTGCCTGCACATGCCAACTTCACTTCCATTAAGTCTCCCTGGCAGGTTTCGATCCCAACCTTGTCCTTCATAAACTCCTTCCTGCTTGAGTCGATGTCGAGCCACAGGTTGACCAATTTTGGATCGGTCTCGTCAGCCTCTGGGAGGTGGGCCTTCACAATCCTCCCAATTGCTCTTTCCACGTGGTCTCGTAGGAAAACCATCTCATCTAATGGTACTCCAACTGCAACAACCCGGAAGATCTTGTCGTCGGTTGTCATTCTCCAATCTCGAAGCTCCGCCCTGGTCATCAAGGGTTTGAATTTCGTACGATAGGTGATTCCTCCCAAATGGATGAAGTCGGCCTTCTTGTTTAATATCCAATCGGTGATATCATGTGCCCTTGGTATATAAGAAGCCACGTTTGGAGACTCCACTTTGATTCGGCCTCGTTTGAAGTTCTCTCCAAAGGTGTCATCCCTTATCCAGCCATCCTCGTACGCGCGAATAACATCCTCCTTGACTCTCCTTGGAAGAAATCTTGCCCCGTTGCGAAAAAACATTATCATCGTCCTGGCCTTCAGCCACCTCACCTTCAGTTCATCGATTGTGTTGTTAAGCACAAAGGTTACTTCCCTGCCATTTACTTCCATGATGCCTCCATCAATGTTCGCGGGAAGAATCCCATCTTCGTAGCAAGCTCTCACCATCTCCTTCACTCGTTCTTCTTCAAGTGCATTATCATTTGAGACTTGAGCTCTATCTCTTTGAGTTCCTGCATCTTGAGCCCCTAGAGGGGTATGGACTGCTTCCATGGCTATCAACGAACTAACAGTCGCCCTTGGAAGACGTAGCATGACAGTTGACTAGGACAGTGGAGAACTCATAAAAGTTTGAGTTCAAAGTTGCAGGCTCCGAGGGACGGACACAAATAAATTCTAACCACTGACAACTCTACTATGGCCATCGCCACATACTTTCGTCAACACGAAAGCGTTGAGTTGCCAAACTACGCCGAATGATTCTACACCAGAACCGTCGGCGCCGGCTAGGCCCGCCGAAGGCGGGCGGAGCTAGGACCGAGTGCGTAACGCACCAGTGCTAGCGCCGCTTCGCGCCCATCACAAAACCAATTCCATTCCATAAGGACGACAGAGAGGCCCATTCCGTTGTATTCTTTTACAAAGCATACGCGTTATGTTCGGGGGAAGAAGCTAGTGCACCCGCCCGTGGTTGCTCCGGTCTACAGGTGGGGAGGGGAACCTGCGGGAAATCCTGTCCAGTCCAAAAGGACGCACACTCACTTTTCAAAGCCCTGGGTTTCACCTGTGGCAAAACTACAGCCTATGACGAAATGCGGTAGCTCTGTGGGTTAGAGCATCAACATCAGAAGTGTGTCCGGGTTGGTGTTAGATAACTTAGATTGACACCCACGGAGCAGGCCTCCAGCCTGGCATAGATGTGGTGGCTCCTAGGACAGCAAGCATAGTAACCTCTGACTATAGGGGGCTACCTGATAGTGGAAGAACGCTTGAGCCTGGATTTCGAAGGTCCTGCACGACAAGGCTTGCTGGGTAGGGATATAAGTCGCTCCGGCTCATCCCGAATAAGCTAGGACAGTTCGGACTTGTCCATGGGCGCCAGCCTGCCCAGCGTTGGTGTCTATACCTGCCATTCGGTCCAAGTCACCCTCCAAGATGGTAGGATGATAGTCCTGAGTGATTCACTCTGAGGTAGGATAGTGGGGATAAGGGGTGAGCTAGGAGTATTGATGAGAAGAGGGTTGGGAGGTAGCCTCACAATTCAAATGATAACTAAGGGTTGACTGATGACTGCAATCATCATATGTATGGAATGCGGCTTCTACAACAACCTGGGCTTTTTCCTAGTTCCCCTTCACAACCATCACCATTAGCTCCACCCCCCCTGCCGGAGGGGGCCCCACCACAGACACCCTTTCCCCCCCCCACCCCCTCATCCCCACTACCATCGTCCACAACCAATATAACGACCAATGCCACCCCCACACCCTCAATGCCGGAAGAGCCCCCGCCTGAAACATCCCCACCTCCCCCACCACTCCCAACAGCACCTGAGCCATCCTCCCCCACCTCTCTCCTATCTCCTTAGGATTGCCCCTATGCAAACACAGAATACAAGCCCTGGCCAGGCAAGGATGGGTTCAAGCAGCAGCAGAGACAAAATTTCCATACGCCACAACCTCCCAAACATTGGAAGATATGGAGCAAATGGACGACAAGGAGCAGACCAGAGAAGTGCAGTGACACAGACGAGAGTTGAAGAGACCCAAACAAAACTGGTTGGAACGCCAGATAGCAGCAAGCTCTGATGGGCCATGCTTATCTTCTTGTATCCTTCCAATCTTAACTGTTATTCTGGAGGACAAGGGCTGACTCAAATTACGTGGAAGCGGATGCTCTTTCAACAGCAAATGGCATGCCGTTAACAACAACACATGCCCTCCTGAACTGCACTGGTTGGGGGTAGCAGGGTACTAGGTTGATTCATGGGGGTACTATGTGGTCCCAGAGATACGAATGGCCTTCTCGGCCCTGACGCCACACCAACTATCCTATCTCAGGAATGCAACCGCAACCTACTTATGGCGTAATGACCATGAGCTTACGAGCTGCATCAAACGGGTGGCATAGGCCCAAGTAGCCCAACCAAGAAACAAAGGCGGGCTGACAATAATTGACCCAGAAGACCAAATAAAAGCACTACTATTCAAAATCATCATACATCTATTGATGGCGGAAGATATACCATGGGCCCTACTTGCCTACATCCAACTGTCGAATCTGGCCCCGCCAACAGCGTTGGATCGGCCGGTCCACCCACTACAGTGGCTAACGAACCCCGCATGGTCGATTCCGACAACCCCAAGAACAGCGGACATCCACTCACAAGCACAAGCCAGTAAAGCTGACCAGACCAATGATCCGCTATGGCCCTCCATCCTCAAGCTATGGAGAGAGATAGGACCAACAAAGGTTCCACCTCAGCCTAGATGGCATGAGGTTTGGCGCCAACCTTGGTTTGGAAATCCACAAATATTGGACCAAAATGACCAGTCGTTTACAGCAGCAACGGGATCCCACTGGCTCCGGTGGATAAAATACAGAATTTTTATACTTGGTGACCTGTGGGACCCACAATCCCGCAAATGGAAAACAACTGCCCAAATGCAATACCGCCTTAAAAACATTAGAAATACAAGTGGACCCCGCCACGGCTACGCCGTGGTGCACAACAACACTCGCCGATCTCTCTCTCTCTCTCTCTCTCTCTCTCTCTCTCTCTCTCTCTCTCTCTCTCTCTCTCTCTCTCTCTCTCTCTCTCTCCATCTATCTATCTCTATCTATCTATCTATATATATATTTGTTCCCATGTTGTGCTTGGCAGGCATCGGTGCTTGTCGTCTGCTCT